ATTTATTGAAACAGTGCAGACTGTAGCTTACTAAAATTGCTCAGCCCTTGTGAATATGATGTAGAGAAATGGACACTGACTTTACTTTTAAGTTTCAAACCTTGGAAATGTAGCTTTATTTGCCAGCAAGTGTGTTCGGTTCACACTCACAGTGACAAGTCTGGTGATTTATCTGGAGTGATACTTGTCTCTCTGATATTTCTCAGGCCTGACAGCTTTAAGGGATCACTGTAAAATATCAAATACTCACTTAATTTTCCAGTAATAGCCAGTCTCACTCAATCAAACAACATTTTCAAACACTGTAATAACCAACAACTAACCAGCCCTTGAAGGTCAAAGTACTAGTTTGTATTTCCATAACAACTAAATAACACAACCAACTTTGCTAAATGGATGCTGTGTTAAATAATTACTGGGTGCATTATTCTACAAAAGCTGTTGTCATTGTTGGTGGTATTATGGTGGTAGCTACAGTAGAAACTGTGTATAGATAAATAAGCAGATGTTTGGTCCAAACAGCCAGTTCCATTTTGGGTCCGATTCCAGGTTGGAACCTGGATTTGCTAATAATATTTCCATTAACTGTGTAGCCCTTAGCGACTAGCCTTTGTTTGTGCTGGCCACACCGCCTGCCATTATTTTTTGAATATTGGTTTTCATATAAGCATTAATGGTATATATTGGTATCACAATATTAAATCACATATGCCTCAATAGATTTTATGTACATCATACAGAGGGGAGAATCTTCTCAGTTAAGAGATCAGCTGATTAAATCATGTCAATTTCAGTAGTTGCAATCCCTCAATTGAGCATTATGCATATCCTGTAAGTCATTTAGTTTACTAGCTCTAATTAAATCACACAGAAATATCAATATTAATACGGAATAGTTATACAATATTGAAAATGTATGCAAAAGTATCTTATTTGTTATTTATTTAATCTTGTCCACTGGGCTGTGCTTGTCCAGCCTCTAAAGAGGCTCAGATTCTCCTGAGCCTCTGTGTCCTTGTCCTTACTAGGGCTGCACAATTAGTCGAAATATTATCAAAACTACAACATGGCCAGGTGCAATACGCAAAACGGAGAAGCTGAATGTTTTCGATTAAGGTAAAAATCTGTTACAAACAGCTTTATAATGAAGTACTGTAGTGGTGCAGACATGTCCTGGCCTACACATTTTGTTCTTCAGATTTAAGAGAACATGTTTGTTGGTACAGACCCCAAAACATTTCTTATCATCATGGTTTTAATAGTTTTATTCAGGAAAACTTAATTTGTGATTCAACAACAAACATTCCCACACAAATCATGAATCATATCGCAATCACAATATCTGTCAAAGTAATACCATATCGTACAGCCCTGCTCCTTACAATTAAACTTATGGAGCTGTGTGTACTGTCATCTTAAAACAACTACTGGTTCAAACATCTGGATTCCTAATATTGTACAGATGTTTATGGTCTCTGTTTGACCAAAGCCACAGCCAACACTGAAAAATAAAAGGCCTCTCTGCATTCAAACATCAGACCCTTGCTTCTGTTGCACTGAGTACTGGTAAAACGGTCGTGCTGCAGGCTACATCTGAGTATTAACTGTGCCATTACTGAGTAGTTAACTAGCAGTTATATAGTGACACCCTAGCGCTCCTTTGGTGCCCCACGTCATTCCACTACAGCACGTAAAGGGTACAAGCAGCAACAGTTCGAGTAATGGCAACTGATGCCAATGGTGTCAAATTAACGTTACACAAATTAACAAGTACAATGAAGAAAATTTGACTTACAGTTTCGAATGTCCGAGATGAAAACAGCTAATCCGCGCATTCCATCTCCTTTCGACACAGCCGGCATGTTTGCAGGTTTGTCCTCACCCCGGCCTTATCCGTAAAAACGAACTGACGTCGGTCAGCTTTTTACACTGGACTAGAGTGGAAGATGGCCAACTTGACGTTTGGTTGTAGCTAGCTACTTCGCAGTTCCGTTCACTAGAACTTTATAATTGACTGTTACCTAACAAGCTCACTGTGTGCTTGTGGGTGGCTAGCTCCGATAGCATTTGCTAGATTAGCTGAATGGCGGTGGATCAACCAGCAGCAGGATAAGTTAACGTTATCCCTGTTAACTGGCTCGTTTCCGCTGGCTATAGCAAGCTAACGTTATTTCATTCAATCCTTATCTAGCTACGATTATAACCTACACGCATAACTCCCACAGTAAAGGTACTTCAGTAAAAAAACATCCACTATTTGGATGTTTCTATGATGAATGCGTCCAGGTGTGCTAATGAAAATAACGTCCGAGAATATAACGTTGAGTTACTTCGAGTCACGCACCGTAAAGCTAGCTTAACAGCTAGCTAGCTAGCTGGCTAGCAATATCATTCAAATACTGGAATACATCACCGGTTGACCGGAATAACTTAGTAGAGAGTTTTAATTGCCACGTAGCGATATGAAATTACAGCCCTGTTCTCTTTCTCGCGCACTAAATTTGGTAAATAAGACGTCCTGTATAATTGATGTCCGTTCTAATTCTCCGTTCTAATTCTCCAGCCTCCACTCCGCGGCTTGGATAAGGCTCGTGACAGAAGACCCAACAGCGTGACCGCGCGACGTACCCGTGCACGCTTACGCTCTTTTCCTTCGTCCGAATGTATTTTCCGGCGTTGATTGGTTCAGCTTGCAGTGCCACTGTACTGCTATATCAGCCAAAATTCACTGCTGTCGGAGTCCGAGAAACCTTTATTTTTTAAGGCAAACGATTAAGCAAGGTGTAAGCAGCAGGGGCGAATACAGAGGTAGCATTGGCCTTGCCACCCCAGTCTACACCCTAAAAACAGAATTCAATATTGAAATTATAAAGTCAATCAAATCAGTGTTAATTGAAGCATAATTCTGGACACCCTTGTACTTCACGCACTATTAAGAACATACAGCACAGAGGCTAATAATGCAAGAGCACATACAAATACAAAAAAATGATGGGAATTGGTAAATATGGACTATAGCAGACAATATTGTTGAATTGTTAGGCACTAAGTAAAACATGCAAAGCAGAAACACAGACATAAAGAGCATGCACAGCGTAACCCTAACCCATAGCTGAAAAACAAAATAAATATTGGCACAGTACTAATTAATAATAATTACTTTTACCTGCCTTATGCACAATTCAGTTTCAGTTTCTCAGCAAGTTTTTTAGTGTCAGTTGCAGTTTTATTTTCAGAATCATAAGCATTTGGAGTATTAAAGGGAGTATTGTGTTTCTTATAAACACTATTTTATTATAACTTTTGCATTACAGATCCTGCACCTATCATAAGAGCAACATGTGTGTCAATGACTGCATGCAATTTTAAGTGTGCTGTGATGCACACTATTTAATTCAATTCAATTCAATTCAGTTCAGTTCAGTTCAGTTCAATTCGATTCGATTCGATTCAATTAAATTCCATTTTATTTGTATAGCGCCAATTCATAACTGAATTTATCTCAGGACACTTTTCAAATAGAGCAGGTCAGGTAAATTATTTACAGAGACCCAACAGTTCCCACCACGAGCAAGCACTTGGCGACGGCGGCAAGGAAAAACTTTTAAGACGCAGAAACCTCGAACAGACCACGGCTCTAGGTGGGAGTCCTTCCTGTTTAGCTCCCCTTATATTTAGCCCCCCAAAAAGTGTTCAA